TGTTTTGAAATTGTCTCATCGCTTCTTTCTCGATGAAATTAATTTTTAAAAAAATCAAAAGTGATTCAAAGAGGTAAAGAACATCACTACATACTTGTTAGGGGAAAACTGTAAGATAGACATAACAGTTATAAATACACATGCACTAGATACTCATCTACATAAGACACATTTTAACACACATGAAGAATGAAGTGAGCAATAATACAAGTGCACAGGGGGACTTTAACAGACCACTGCCACAAAACGATAAATAGGAAAAAAAGGGGGGGGCCAACAAGATAGCTCAGTGGTCTACAGCGCCTACTTCGGAAAGCTTAGGCAGCCTCAGGAGACTGAGTTTCAATCCCCAGCATCACATGCCATGACAGCCCCACCCTCAGGGTGGGCTGAGCCAGCCAAAAAAAAAAAAGGAAAAAGAACTAAATGAGACTTGGGAAAAAATGGACTTAGTAAGGGCCAGAAAGATAGCTCAGGGGATTAAAGCACCTGCCTAGGCAGATGCAGGCACTAGGGGTTTGATTCCCATCCTGCCTACCAGACCTGCCCCTGCGGCTCTCTAAGACAGTGATTGAGACTGGGCATGGTGTATGCACCTGTAATCCCAGTGCTTGGGAGGCTGAAAACAGGAGAATCCTACAAGTCCAATCAATGTAGTGAGACCCTACAGCTCCTACACTAAATACACTTTTAAAAAGGGCCAGCCTGATAGCTCAGTGCACTAAAGCGCCTGCTTAGGCAGATGCAGTGTCCTGCGTTCCATCCAGGCATGCCACACCGGCCCCACCCGCAGGGCGCACTGAGACCCAGGGTGCACTGAGATGGCGATTGAGACTGGGCGTGGTGGCGTGAACCTGTAATCCCAGCACTTTGGAGAATCACTGAGTCTGATCTATGTAGTAAGACCCTGTAGACCTGTAGACCCTGTCCTAAATGCAGGGGAAAAATACATTTTTAAGAAGGGAGAGAGAGAGAAATGGACTTAGTAGATTTTTACAGTGTTTCACCTAGCAACAACAGAATATACATTCTTTTCAGCTGCACATGGAACAGTGTCAAAAACAGGCCATTATACTAGCACACACAGCATGCTTTAGTAAATGCAAAGGAAATAAAATTATCCCATGCATTCTATCTGACTACACTGCAATGAAACTTGAATTTATTGACAGAAGAAACCACAAGCACACCATAAACACATGGAAATTAAGTAACCTCCTAAACAACCAGTGGGTCACAGATGAAATTAAAGAAGAACTTTTAAAAATATTTACAATCAAAAAAATGCACATACAACATACTGGAGCCTGTGGGATGCAATGCAAGCCATCTTTTTTTAAAAAAAAATATTTTATTGTATTTTAAAGAGTAAAAACAGAAGCAAAAACAAAATAGAAAAAAAGACAGCAACATGGTAACATACAACAATGCAGATGTTACAGATTTTCAAAACAGGAATAGCTAACAATGGTTGTTGTATTATCTATTTTTATCATCAAATCTGTTTCTCAGATTAACACATCTAGGTAAGCAAGACTGGGGAAATAACTGAATATTGGTGCTGGAATGAAAGCCAGCTTAAGAAGAATATTTATAGTGGTAAACTTGCACATCTGGAAAACAGAGCACACTCAAATAAACGATCTCGTTATGCTCTTCCAGCTCTTAGGAAAAGAAGAGCAAGTGAAGCCAAAGCCCAAAGAAGGCAGGAATTAATATAGATTATAGCAGAAATTAATGCAATGGAGATGAAGAAAAAAATACAAAGAATTAATGACTCAAAACATTGGTTGTTTGAATGAACAAATAAAATGATAAACCCCAGCCAAACTTATTTTAAGAAATGGAAGGAAAATACAAATTAATGCAATAAGGAATGAAGAGGCAAAATCACTATGGACCCCACAGAAATTGAGAAGATCAACAATACCTATTTCCAAAATCTGTACTCCTACAGGATGGAAAACACAGAGGAAATAGACACTTTCTTACATACATACGAAATGCCAAAGCTGAGTCAAGAAGCTACACAAACTCTCAATAACCCAATAACAGGAATGAAATTTAAAATGTAATTTAAAAAAAAAAATCTACCAATAAAGAAAAGCCAAGGTACTGATAGATTGACAAATACACACAAACCATAATACCTCCTCAGTGTGAGAACCTCAAAAGAGAAAAAAAACCCTGAAGGTTACAGTAGATACTTGGAAAAGAGAATGAACCTGTTCAAAAGAAAGGAACTACGGACCTGAGGAGAACATGAGAGCATGTGTGAAGGAAATACATCCATGCACGTAATCAGGATGGTTTGGCCAACTGGACTGTGGATTCTGCTGGCCTATGGAAAGGATTAGATAATGCTTAGGGGTTTTTGGTTTGGTTTGCTTTGGCTTGGTTGGTTTTTTTTTTTTTTTTTTTTTTTTTTTTTTTTTTTTTTTGGTGGAACCGAGGATTAAACTCAGGCCCTTGCGCTTGCCAGGCAAGCGCTCATTCTACTGAGCCATCTGCTTAATTTGTTTGTCTTTTTTCAACTATTTTTCCTTTTTTTGTCTTTTCTGTCTTTTCTTTTCTTTCTACTTTGTATGCATATATCTAGTAATATGAACAACTAATTTGAAGACAAGTACAGACTAATTGAAGACAATTTGTTGTATGCAATACTGTTATATTTTATTATGTTCGTTAGTGAAATTCTGTATCATTTGTAATTTTTGTGTTGTAATACTAGATTTGTATTCTCTCTAAAAAACTAAAAAAAAAAAATTTTAAAAGCAAATACTGCTGGACATAAATAATAAATACCGAACCAACACTACAATCATAATAGTTGACCTCAATAGCTCATTTTCAGAGATAAATTAACTATACAAAAAGTCAACAAGAAAATACCAAAGCCACGTTACATCATTCAACAGCCCCAATGCATATCTAATGCTCTACTCTACAACAGACAGAATACACAATGTTCTCAGCAGCATATTGAACCTTCTCCAAAACTGACCACATACTAGTCTACAGAATCTCCTTAAATAAATCAAAAAATAAAAAATAAAAATTACCTCATTTTTGCTATCAGATATTAGTGTTTTGAAATTAGAAACCAAACATGAAAGAAATCACAAAAAATTATAAATTCCTAGAAACTTAAAAATATACTACTGGACACTCTGGGTCAAAGAAGAAATCAAGGAACACTAAAAATTAACTTCTGAATTCAAAAGACAATGCCACTACAACACAACAGAACCTGTGGTACCCAAAACAATCCTCAGGAGGAAATTTATTACAGTTAATGCTCACATTAGAAAACCAGAGTGAGATGAATAAATAATCCAGGGATGAACTGACAAAACTAAGGGGAAAAAATGTAGTCTAAAGCAAAACCTAGTATAGAGGAGAAAAACATAAGTATCAGAGTAGAATTAATGAAATTGAGGCTAAACGGGGTTATTGCGCCAATACTTTTCAAACTCTTTAATGAAGTGTAAAAGAAAGGAGCGTTCGCAATTGACTGCTGAAAGTCAACATCACTCTGATCCCCAAACCAAAGACCCAACTTAAAAACGAAACTACAGGCCAATCATCTTAATGAGTATAGAAGCAAAATTCCTCAGTAAGATATTGGCAAACAGAATGCACACATTATAAAGATCCCACATCCTCATCACAGAAGTTTCCTCTTGTCTCAGGATAGTCACATGTAATACACCACACAAACAGAAGCAAGAACCAAAACCACCTGGTCATATCAATAGATGCAGAAAAAGTTTCACAAATCCAATATCCAATAATAATAATAATAATAATAATAATCCTTGAAGAAAATAGATCTTAGCTCAGTGTGATAAAAGCCACTGAGGCCAGCCTAAGCTACAAAGTAAGTTCACGTCCAGCCTGAACTGAATAGTGAAACTTGTCTCAAAAGGAAAAACAAAGCAAACAAAAAATGATTCCAAATACTGAGGATCAAACGCCAAGCACTGGGCATTAGTTCTTCATGCGCCTAACCGCACTATGAGGTAGAGAGCATTTGCGTCACTTTACAGATCAGGAAACAAAAAGTCAGTAATAACGTACCCAAGGCTACACAAGGTCAAGCCGCAGTCAGGAATAACCTCAAATGCGGGGCCCTACACTGGGGTTTAACGGGTACAGAGCCCAACTCTCCTGGGACGGCTTGCCGCTGCTTACCTACGTTCCGATTTCCCAGGGAGTTCATGCTTAGTCTAGGAGATGCAAGCAAACCCTGCCAAACCCTTTCTGTGCTTCCCTGCAACGAAGTTCGCTCTCAGGGCAGCTAGCGAACCGACTCGACCCGTAGGCGCTCAGGCCGCAGGGAGCTAAAGCAATCCGGGCTCCGCCGCACCGCGATTGGCAATCTCAGCCTTCAGCCAGTAGGTGTGACCCTTCCGGGGGCCCCACCCCAGGCTTTTGGCAGTTTAAAGGTTCAGCCCACGGGCCAGCCCCGTCTTACACAGTACAGGGAGAAAATGGTCTTCAGAGGAGTGAATTGTGCTCAAGAAATTAAAATGAATCACTTTCAGTTCAGCATTGCCGAATTATCACATTAAGAATAGAGTAGTAAGGTCTAATTCCGCAGAGAAACCACATAATTGAGTGGGTGGCGGACCCGAAAGGAGACGTGTCCCCCCTCCGCCAAGTCGTGGGTCCGGCCAACCCCGCCCCTCCGGGAGGCTCCCAGCCAATCCGGACGCCGCGCCCGCCGCCGGACGTGCCCGCCGCAGGCGCGGGATTCAAACTCCCGGAAGCGGCGGCCGCGCCGGCTGTGGAGAGTGGCGCCCGGCGCGGCGTTTCCTGCGAGCAGCCCGCAGCAGCGCGGCGTTGCCCCCGATTGCGGACCGGCAGGCCGGACAGCGCGGCTACGGGGCGG